GAGGTTGAAAATTGGAAATTGGCTCGTGCTGCACTACCTCTAGCTTTCGATCCCATTTCAGCGAGTGTATTGATTTGCCGGGTGTAGAGTTGCACTGAGGTACGAGGTATGTGCAGAGACGAAGGTGTAATTCAACAAAGTAGAGATGTATTGGTGAGGTTTGAGCCGTTTGCGCTCAGTACAAAATCCTCTTAGATATAAGATAAAACAGCGACTACGTGCTGACCTGTGGACTTAGGCCTGGAGTATGTTCTAGTCGAATAACCTATAACAACAGAGTATAGTATATTACAGATACGCCTCACATATTTGAGTGACTATAGTGTACTACAGATACGCCTCACATACATGAGTGAGTATAGTATATTACAAATACGCCTCACATACATGTGTGAGTACAGATACGCCTCACATACATAAGTGAGTAAAGTATATTACAGATACATGTGAGCAGAGTGCGCCGTGGGTTACGTAGGCGTGTGTTGCAGAATGGTAGTCTTGCATTCACGCCGACGATGTCGATGCTGTGTGTATCGCAGTACAAGTTGGTCGTGCAGGTCTCCTGTCTATACTGATACGAGTCAATTATTGACCACCATGTTATTTACTTTGTGCATTATGATAAACAGAGGGGAACATCGTACTTCACATCGTTGTTGTCGGTCATGAAGAGCATTGTGTGTGTGTGTGTGTGTGTGTGTGTGTGTGTGTGTGTGTGTGTGTGTGTGTGTGTGTGTGTGTGTGTGTGTGTGTGTGTGTGTGTGTGTGTGTGTGTGTGTGTGTGTGTGTGTGTGTGTGTGTGTGTGTGTGTGTGTGTGTGTGTATGTGATCATCGCATTGTGACCTACTATTGATTCCAACAATGGAGTTCCCTGCGGTCTTCGATCTTTGGACAAAGCTTTCTCCGATGAAATATTGTACATTGATTGGTACTTAACTATTGTGTATTACTTGATACTTTTTGGTATTCAATAACTGCATATTACTCAAGTATTTTATTATTACTATATACTACTTGGTATTCGACTATTATATATTACTTGGTATTTTATTATTACAGATTGATAAAGTGTTGAAATATTGTATATTACTTGGCATTTAATTATTACATATTGCTTGAGTATTTAACTTTAAATTTTACTTGGTATCTAACCAATATATATTACTTGGTATTGAAATACTATATAGTACTTTTGATAGAAGTGTTTAAATATTATGTATTATGAAGTACATAACGATTATACAATACCTGGTACTATATTATTGTATATTACCTAGTAGGTCTTTTGTTATTATATTTTACTTGGGTGTTTAATTATTATACATTATTTGGGATTCAACTTAGATAATTATTAACTGATATTAAAATATTATACGGTAGTTATGTGTTTTATTATTATATATTACTTAGTACACAATTATTATATAATACTTGGTATTGAAGTATTATATATTATTTGGTATTATTATTATATGCTACTTGGTGTTTCAAAAATTATTATATATTACTTAGTATTTAATTATTACATACTTCTTTCATAATATATCGACGGACCTCCTCGAGATGACCAATCTATGCCATAGAGTCGAGCGAGTGCCATACTCGGTATTAAATACAGGCATCGCCCATTGGCCTACAACCGCTCACAGAGATGTTCCTAACAATTCCCCAAGAAAGTCGTTGCTCTAGGTTGCAATGAGTTGGTCAGTGCTAATAATTAAGGCTGCCATAGTCGCCGCTTCCAATTGTACGTGGCGGTGCGGGTCGAAGCTGACTGACACCCTAATCAGCAAAATATTTGGCAGTACCTCGTCTGATGTACAGTGTTAACTGTTTGTCTGTAGATGTTGTTGCATTTATAGGCCATGACTGACTTACAACTCTAGTCAGCAAAAGATTTGGCAGTACCTCTGTCTGATGTACAGTGTTAACTGTCTGTCTGTAGATGTTGTTGCAGTTATAAGCCATGACTGACTTGCAACCCTAGTTTGGTCAGGCTGCCGATCTCTAGTGATAGTTGCCTGTTTGTAGATGTTGTTGCAGTTATAAGCCGAATACAACTTCGTTCCCAAGTTGATAAACCCGGCTGCTATTGTCAGTAGTATATCTGCCTGTTCGTAGATATTGTTGCCGGTCGACTTCAAACCATAATTGACGGGGCAGCAAGGACAGTTGTCATCGCACTCTGCAGGTTGCGATAGTAGAGGTAGAATAAGTGAGACGAAGGGAAGTGTACATTGTTATCAAAATTATGCGAAACACTATCCGTGTTTGCGACGACCGCCACTAGCATATACACCTGTGCCAAATAAGGAACCTTGAACGCTCGAGCTTCTTGCTAATCAATGCAAATGCGTAGCGAACCAATAGCAGTACCAAACTCAACACCCCTCATACGTAAAACAGAACAAGTAGGCGGCCAAGGACACACGCCACATCTGTAAGTGTTTGACCAGCGGTTTCAAGTAGTTTACACATGTGCAACCGCAAGTGAAGCCCATGCGGAATGGAATCTCAAGCACCACCATAACAGTAGTACCAAACTCAACATCCCTCATACGTAAAACAGAACAAGAAGGCAGCTAATGACACACGCGCACATCTGTAGCTGTTTGACCAGCGGTTACATGTAGTCTACACATGTGCAACCGCAAGTGAAGTCCATGCGGAATTAAATCTCAAGCACCACCAAAACAGTAGTACCAAACTGCTCACGCAGACCCCTAATGCACTATAGGCTACAATACCAGGCAACATGCATTGCTTTACAGCGCAGAATATTCGCAATACACACCACACACCGTTGCTAGTTCCAAGCACTTACTTCGTATGTGTTCGGGTGTGGCGCTTTAGATTCCCTTTAGTGCTGAACTTCTTAGAACAGCCTTTCCACACGCACTCATACGGCAGCTCAGCAGTGTGTACTCTCATGTGCCGTTTCAAATCACTGTTCTGACTACACCTCTTCTCACACCCTTCCCAGGTGCACGAAAACGGCAGTTCACCGGTGTGTGTGCGCATGTGCCTCGTCAGTATCCCGTTCACGCTGAACCGCTTGTCACACCCCTCCCAGGTGCAGGCAAACGGCATTTCTTTCGTATGAGTTCGCACATGTCGGACTAGATCACTGCTTTTGATGAATGCCAATGAACAGTCTTTCCATGTGCACTTGTTCGATTTGTGCTTTTCGGTACCTCCGGTGACCTCATGCGCTGCACCTCGTGTGCTGTTGACATTGTTTAACTTCACTGGCGATTCCACTCGTGCCGCAATCGCATCCAATTTATTTAACTTTGTGATCGTCTCATCCAGTGGCGAGCTTTCGGAGGTACTGCTGGTGCCGTTCATCGCATTCCCTGTGCCGAGGGGCAGTTTGTGAGTGTCCTTGGCATTCTCCTTGCTCGGACCGTTTAACTTGACATCGCTGTCTCTATCGTACTTATTCATAGGCATAGATGCGGTGAAGATGTAATTCTGTGGTGCTTGTGGCCGTGTGTATGCCGGTGTATGTGTTTGTGTTTGTAAGTGTGCTTGCGTCTGGGTGTATGCCTGTGTTTGTATTTGTGCTTGTGGCTGTTGATGTATTGGCATTTGTACCTGTGCCTGTATCTGAGGTTGTGTATTGGTACTCTCTGTACGCTCCAGCAACGCCTCCACTGACCTACCCCCGCTATTCAACCTCTTGCAGTTGCTAGCATTCTGCATATCTGCTGTGTTGCTGCGTGTGCGCTTGGTATTGTGAAGTACTTCCGCGATAGTCACCACCTGGCTGTCCGTAGTGTCCACATACTCCAGTTGCATGGCTGAGTTAGACGCCTGGGGTGGTTGCTGAAACTGTTGCCGCGTGTGCAATATGACCCCGCTCCGTTCTGGCCTATCCAGGTCGTTAGTACCATGCTTGCCGTACCCATTGAAACTAGTCACCCCCCTATCGGCAGTATTACTTATACCGCACAGGACACTGAAGTCCGTCGGCCCAAAGTCGGTCATGGGATTGATCACCCCTGTACTCATGCTCCTACCCTGAGCTGCCAGGAAGCCACTGTTCACATCGCTCGTGCGCATAGCACTAGCAGATCGAGACCTATTTTCGGCCAAACAAGACAGCATCGCATCCGACAATCCCAACGGCAACGAGTTTCTCCCGTTGCCCGGCGATGTATTCCCATTCACTCGGCTGTTCAGGTCTGCAAGTACTTCTGTGAAGCTATTCCGGGGAGGGGTTGCCGGGTGGCCCATTTGCTGGTTGTACATGGGTGTGCGGTAGCAAGGACAGTCACGGTTGTGTATTCGATCTCGCAGGTCCAAGGCCTATCGCAAAGAAAAAATAAGGTGGAATAATCATACAAATTTGAAGATAAATGAATAAATACACACAAACACAGCCACCCATAGCCACAGCCACAAAGTCAGCCACCTACCCACCCACCCACCCTCATCCCCACCCACCCAATACATATATATGTATAAACATATATATATAAATATATACTATATATATAGATATAATGTATATAAATATAAATATATATATATATATATGCATTGTAGATATATACAATATACATTTATATATATATGTACTTACAACATACACACAATACACACACACTGCTATATAAATATACATATATATATATTTATATACATATGTATATATACATATATATATATACACACACGAATATATATGTATATATATATATATGTATAAATATATGTATATATGTATATATGTATATATATATATATATATATATATATATATATATATATATATATATACAAATATAAATATATAAACATATATATAAAACCATTACACAAACATATATATATATATATATACATATATATAGAGAGAGAGAAGATATATATATAAATATTTAAATATACATAGACAAATGTACATACAAAAATAAACCAATATATATATATATATATATATATAAATATATAAATAAATCTATATATAAATATATATATACATATATATATA